ATGAATATTACTGGAGTTTTTTCACAACATCAACACTTGGTGATCGAAACACGTGTCGAGGTGTTAAAAATAACGATTTGGTGTTGGGAAAAAACTCCAGTGATATTCATTACTTTATACCACATAACATCAAAGTTTTGGAGTTCTACCATTTTCTCTCGTTGACAGATATGCTACAATTACAGATTTTTATAGATCCTACTATTTATCAAAAGTTTACAGAAGGATTTTCCACAGTTAGACGTTCAGATAAATTGAGTTATGGGACTTCAACAAATATGGTGATTGAGTAGTGAATGGTGAATGCTGTGAAGACAGATGAAGGTATTGCTCTAGGGGGAAGTACAAAAGAGAGTTTCATGAGAAAATGATTTTGCAATGCATTGCTTGCATTGTAAAAACTTCACATTTACTTTTTCGGATGATGACAAAATTGTATTTTATGCCAATGAAATCGTGGGAAATAAAATCAATTATCACATTACCCTCATGTCTGAAATAATAGGACAGACGTATGATAATATTGAATTGAAACGCGCTGTTTTAGTTATGTGTAGCACCATAAAAGCGCACGATGAGAAAGTACTTGTTGACCCTGTATCATTATTTCAACGTATGATTATTACTACTGAATATGAAGATGGAATTGAGAACTATTTCGAACTTGAATTGGTTTCCTACTCGTGTCACTGTTGAGCGATATTATAATGAGTAAACCACAAAAGTCAGTTATTTACCATTGTTTTCGAACATTAAACATTGATAATAACAACAATAATGCTTGGTGACATACATCATTGATAGAGACTATCCATTACACCGCATTGTGTGGTATTAAAAACAATCCTTCAACGTTATTTCGAATAAATACGTTCGGTATACATCCACATTATGTTAGACTGTTGTATTTGATGACTACACCGATTGTACGAATTGTTGAATATGCAGAATAACGTCTTCGAACTACAACATCTTCCTATTCTGTTATCTTATTTTGCCCAAATTTATTGGTTCCCACAAAAAATTCTTGCGAATAGGCACCACAAGTATCGATTAATTTCAATGTTGAATGGAAGATTTATCACTGATAATATTTTTGACAAACGAGCAAAAAAAGTTATATGAAGTACTGGTGATATTTTGACCCCATCTATACATTCCCGAGAGGAAAAGAGGAAGTCCAGGGACACCCTGTATATACAAGAGAAGGAGCAATTTTGCAAAAAATTTCTTTTCAATCTGATCATACCGAATAATGGTATCATTTGTGATATCTTAATTTTTATTTTAAATAAATCAAGTCAATAACTGAAAATACTTATGTATGTAGCATATGCGATCTTAACTGCATTTAATCAGTAATAGCTGAATAAATAGCAAAGATTATTGGTTAAATAAATAATGTCATGTGTTTTTGTAGTTCCATATATCAATAAATATTTATTCTACAGTGTCGTGGTTTATACTGATCGATAGAGAATTTTGTACTGTATACATTGATGCTGTTCTTTTTTTCCAAATTTTAATTGATGATGTCGTTAGGCGATTTTCGGCCAATTTTTCTCTACGAATTCAAATTGAACCAAAGCGCTGCCAAAACAGCTCGAAAACTCAACCAGGCATTTGGCAATGATAGTATTAATAAAGGCACTGTTCGACGTTGGATTGCAAGTTCCGGAGATTATAGCCTCGAAGATAAGCCCCGAAGTGGTCAACCTACAGTAATCCAGGACGAGGATTTGAGGACCCTGGTGGAGACTTAACCATCACAAATGCAAGCTGAAGAAGTGAGCGTTAGCTCCCATGCGGTTTTTGATAATTCAAAACGTATTGGGAAGGTCAAAAAGATCGAAAAGTGGGTGCCTCACGATTTGAAAGATCGACAGAAATTGACATGTTTCGAGGTCGGTTCTTATCTGTTTTTGCGCAACCAAAACGATCTTTTTATGGATCGGATCGTCACATGTGATGAAAAGTGGTTCCTCTACGACAAGAGAAGACTTTCAGGACAATGAGCCACCCAGGCACTTCCCAACAGCGAAAACCCACCACTGTAAGGTGGTCAGCAGCTGGGGTGATTAACTATAACTTCCTAGAACCGGGCCAAACCATCATAGCAGTGTCCTATTGTGAGGGAATCGACGAAATGTACCGAAAACTGCGTTAGCAGCAGCCGGCACTGCTCAATAGAAGAGGTCCAATCCTGCTTCACGACAACGTCCGTCCGCAAGTTTCACAAATCACCGTCCGAAAATTAAACGAATTGAGTGTCAAGTTCTGCATTATTAAATAATATTAGTGAAACTTTGATTAAGTGTATTCCTTATTCAAGTATTAAGAACCCATTCATACCGGAAGACATAAAATTGGTGTCAGTATAGTACTGAAAGAAAGATTATAACGCATTCACCGACATAGGATGAATGCGCGAAAAAATAATTAGCACGAGATAGGGTTTATGAGAGGTATTCTCACAAAAGTGCTTGAAAAGACGATCAGTTCAGTAGATTCGAAAAAAAGGCCAACCGAGCATTTTATTTCGGGAGAAATTTTTCAGTTTTTCAATGAAACGTTTCATCGTGAAGTTAATTTTCAATTTTCAAAATGGGAAATGGTATACTTCGACCGCCAAAATGAAAATAAGGGTGTGATTATTTTTTGAATTTATTTTATGACTACGAAAATTTTGTAGATCTCTTTTGGTAACCATATACCTAATATTCAGAAAAGTATGACACACACATAAAAACTAGTAAACAAGTTTGTTGGACTCGGTGTCATGAAAAACATAGGGAAAAACGCAATAATGAGGCTGCGGTTTTCTCAGGAGACTTGAAAAAAGTGGCGGCTCCCAGGCAGTTGAAAATTACTCATTAGTTATTATCTTTTTTATTTCAATAAAAACGTTTACCTTTAAACTTTTTTCGCTTATTTTATTTTCAAGTTTTTAGTTTCTGATTTTGTTACTCAATTCTTCTCATTCTGTTTAGTTCATTCAGTGCCTCAGTATTACAAGGTTATACGTAATCCGCCATTTTGTAGCTGCGGCCATCTTGAATTTGTATATTTTTGAAAGTGTACTACTATTTTACTAGTGAAGCCTTGTCATTTGATACCCATATTGAGGTAGTTGTGAAACAATAGATATGTAATCCGCCATTTTATAGCTGCAGCCATCTTGGATTTAATTTTTTCCCTTTATTACATATGTGTAGGATTTTGAGGTTATCTTTACTTATCTTGTGTTTTGATTCTTGAAGATGTTAATACATTGTAAATCAAAACAACAAGATCACTATGACGGAAAAACAAAGGACTTCCACACAAATAACAAAGAAAAATGTCAAAAATTATTTAACGCGAATCCAAACCCCAAGAAACCCCGCTCCAAAAAATATACACTCAGGATTCAAGAAAAACTACACACACACACACATACATATA